CCCGCGGGCCCGAGCGGGGCGTAACCGGAGCCTCGGCCCTCGGCGCGGGCGCTGCCCGGCTCTCCCCTCCGCACACACGCCGAGCTCCGGGGAATTGTAACGGGACCCGAGGGCTCCCCACCAGGGATTGAAACCGGATCTCATCAAGCACGCTCGAGGGACTCGCAGGGAGAAGGCTGGGCGACTCCCACACCTTTCAAATGAGGGGATTGGAGAAAGATTCAAGGAGAGCCAGGGAGCAGGTGCACCTCAGCACGCCGCCAAATAGTACCCCAAGGAGCAGAGGTCCCCACAACTGAGGTGCAGGGGTGGCCAAAAGGCCTGTTAGCAAGTTGTCACATGCACAGCTGCTCACCTACATTTAGGTAGCAGAGCCTAAGGAAATCTTACGGATAGTCATGGAAGCCTTCCTTTTACAGAAGAGAATTGAATAATCTGCCAAAGGGCGCACCCAGGTCCAGATATGATCGTGTATGTTAATACATATCCTTCGGAAACGTGCCTCCTGTTGTACGTTGGACTAGACCAACCAATTCAAAATACCTGTTGGCTTATGCTTCGGGCGCCGTGTATCCATCGTTGGCTTAAATCAGGGTAGCTGGAAGCATGCAAATAGCATTTCTATCATTCTTGGCTCTCACGTGGATGAGAACCTCTGCGCTTAACAAATCTGGAAGGTTGAGATTCTTTTCCACACCTTTTGTGTGAAGAATTGGATTTGGGGATGGGAAAGGATGAGCAGATAGTGGAGTAGGTTTTGCGGAAAAGAACTCGGGCTCTCAGACTCTAAACCTCCCATCTCCCCTTACAAGCAGTTTTCTCAGCAGTTGGATTCGTCCTCCCAACAAGATCTTCAGGGATACATCATGTGTTTCTCTACAAAAGGGTGTGTTCCTCCATCAAGACATGCATAAATTCAACAAATTGAACTTAAAATGTCTAGGTGTTATGACCAAGCATAAGAGATTAATGAATTTCATTTTTCATGCATTCAGCAAGTATATATTGGAATATATCTATATGTGTATACACACACACACACACACACACACACACACACACACACACTGTTGCCCCTGAATGGAATACAACGCATAAAGGCCCTGTAGAACAGAATAGAATAGTCTCATAGAGTTTCCAGTCTTCGCGGAAGTAGAGTGCCACACTTTCTCCGGCAGCGCTAAGCATCGATCTTTGGTTAGCAAGTAAATGCTTAACCACTGCACCACCCAACGGTGGGGGTTCTCTCCCCTGTCACTATAGTCCTTATGTAGGGCTGACAGTCCTTACACAGCTAAGAATGCCAAAGAATTCTACACAGACCAACCTGTCTTGAAGAAAACGTATTTAGACTCCATATTTTGGTTGCAAATCCAACATACATAGACTGAAAACCTCATTGCCCTCACCTCGGAACTGAGTCACCAGCAGGTTTTCCGGAGGCAGTAAATCACACCGGAGAGATTGTTCATTTCTTCCTCGAAGTTGCTGAGGAATTTGAACCACCAGAGAGGCACTGCCTCAGAGTTAGCAGCAAACTCCCCACAGACTATGCCACGGTAAGACAATTTCCACAGAAAATCAGACAATTCAACAGGTATGAAGGTTGAATTTAAAAACTCAAGTGATGTCATCAGAAGCCCCTGCTCCGAGCTCTTCAGTGTTGTCATTAATTCTCAAACAGGCTCTCCTTAAAGGGACATAGATGACCATTCTCAGGGCTCTAAGATTGTATGACCTGAAACTGCCTTTCTCAGATATCAATAACACCTTGATCCTGGGGAGGACTTAAATGTCCATAGTTGGGACACATACCCACTCTGTGGGAAAAGGAATTCAACAGGGAAAGGCTACTTCACCTGCCACCACCAAATCATATGACTTGAGAACAGTGGAGGAGCAGATCCTCAACCAATGTAACAACTAAAACCAAAACCCACCATGAACTATAAAAGATAGCGTCCAGTTATGGAACGAGTTATCCATCCCCCACGCCCAGTATAGGAGCTGAATTCCCAACCCTTGTACATGAAGTAGTAGGTTAAGTATGGCTAATAGGTTAACAGTTTGAATCCACCAATCACTCCATGGATGAAACAAGAGGCTGACTCTTTATGACTTACAGTCTCAGAAACTCAATAGAGGGTCACCATGAGTAGGGAATGACTTGACAACAGACAGTCTAGTGTTTTGGTGTTACATGTGTACACACACACACACACACACCCTGGTTATGCAATGGTTGAGTACTTAGCTGCTTACAGAAAGGTCAGTCATTTGAGACCATCAGCCAATTCATGATGATTTACTGAAGATTATTGTGTAATGTAGAGTTGGAACCAACCCAAAGCTCACCCTCTAGCAAGTTTTCAGGAGTAGTAAATTGCATGGGAGCAATTGTATGCCCATCCTTCTCCCATGGAGTAGCTGGTGGATTCGAACTTTGAGTCTTTGGGATTGCAGTGAACTTCCTGCTATTAGGCCACCAGCCTAAAAAACCCTAAGGGGCAGTTCCACTCTATCATATCAGGTCCTTACCCAAAACCCTTATTCATCAGAATGGACTTGACTGCATCGAAGAACAACAACTTGTGATATCAATATATAATGTATATTGCACACATAAATATATACCCATGCCAAGAAAACAAACAGGTCTGTCTTGGGGAGAAGGAAACCAAATTTCTCCTTGGAGGCTAGTATTTTGAAGCTCTATCTCACATGCTTTGGGCATGTGGCCAGGAGGCATCAGTCCTTGGAGAAGGACATCATGCTTGGAAGGGTGGAGAGACAGTGCAGGAGAGGAAGACCCTAGAGGAGATGGATTGACACAGTAAGTGGGGCAATGAAGGCAGGTATGTCAGAGTCTGTGAGACTGGCTCACAACAGGACAGGCTTCAGAGCTGTCATACACAGAGTAACTATGATTTGCAGGTGGCTCGATGGCATATTACAACATGCATCCTATATTGTTATTCTTGTGTGTACATTTTAGTCAATTATGTATTTATATCATAGTTTCATTTATAACTAACTTTCAAGAAAGATGTCGTATAATTTACCTTTTAGAAATAAGGAAACAGAGGACAGGGAATGTCAGTCACTTGCTGAAGATAACATTCCTAGAAAGTATCATAACCTAGATTAGAACCCAGTTAGTCTAACTCTAGAATTTGTGTGGTAACTGATGTGTTGCAGAGTGATAAACAGAGTGAGCAAATAAATAATCCTGTGTGTTAAGGGTTGGCCATTACTTTCAATATTGGGAATTCTGTGAACATAATGGTTTTTCTCTGGGTAGAATGATGGAACAAATATTTGCAGCTGATGGACTAACTGCCTGTTTCTCTCTTCCGTGCCCCTTGCCATCGTTTGTTTTGGGGTGGGGATTTTTGTTTTCTGTTTGTTTGCTGTGTTGAGTTTTCTCCCTTCACAGTTGCTCCAGACTCAATAGTTTTCATTCCTCTTCCTGTATGTAACTCCCTCTAAGCCTGATTTAGCTAGCCCCTCCCCAATGCCAAGAGCCCTGGTCTGGACTTCTGACTTTCAGAAACCCTTATTAACTGACGAAAGACACCCACACTTTCCAAGTGGGACCCCCAGAAAGACTGGAATTGGTTCTATGGGATGAAACAGAGGTCACACCATTGTTAGATGAAGGAAGAACTGGAGCTAGGCTTTGATGTGAACAATGCATTGAACATTCCTGCACACCATGGAGTGAACTTTTATGACCTGAAGGCAGTAATTATGAAATGAGCCTAATGTTTACTCTTCATGTTTATTAAATAGCCAGATTTAATTTGTTATTCAGTCTCATCACAGCATACATAAAAATAATTTATTATATATTAAGAAACGGTACAAAAGAACACAGTTGCAACACACAACACAGTCATTCATGCCAAGTAAATTTCTAAATCAATATTTCATGCCCCATGGGACATCCTGGGCAGAAGACAATAGATAACTTGCCTTGATTGAGTAATACTAGAAGATTGTCGGCCTGGGTTCCATTTTCTTGTTTTGTCTGTTGATGGGTAAATATTGTCTGTGATGTGAGATTTTCCCATTGACTATCCAACATCTTAGCAGGCTTTGGAATAGCTGATGGTGCAGTAATACTGACCATTGATATTAAATTCTCCACCCTGGGAGAAAATATTACTAAGATGTCAAGTATCATTAGGTGTGCAATGAATAAAAAAAATTATACTTTTTAACCAGTAATCCATGCTATTGTTTTACACAATTAAAATACTTTACCCTTTTAGACAATTATCTATAACAAGTACTATTTATCACAAAAAGTAATTAAATTAGAGATAATCTTTTTTAAAAATTCTTGGTGCAATTGATACAATAAATCATAATCTTAGCTTCTTTCTTTTTTTTTTATACTAGTTTATTTACAAAATTTAAATACATTGTTTTCCAGAACAGATTCTTCCAATTTCATGATGCACATG